TTTGAAATATTTGTCTCAACCAGTAAGTGGCTGGGATAGGAATGTTTTGAATTCAAATGACTAATTAGGATTAAGATTAGAGCCAGAATGCTCTGACCAGGATGGATCTGGAACTACACTATTCTTTTATACTGAGATTCATTTAACAAGTGCTCACGTACTTTTTGTCTATACCTGGCACTCTCCTAAACCCTCATCTAACATTAACTCATTTTATACTCAGAGCCTTGTACCGTCAATTCCATTATTATCCCATTTTATCAATGAAGAAACAACTGCAGAATAGCTAAATAACTTGCCTAGTTCAGATCTTTTAGACTGGTTAGAATTCAAAACCAGAGGGCCTAACTAGTGCACCTCCCCCCATTTTATTCTCAATTAATTGATCTGATGGACAGAGAGATGGAAATGGTTCAGTACACAAATATCTGGCCCCCAGGGAACTCCATGCAAGTTTCTCATGTGGGTGGTATGGACCTGGTGTTTCCCAGGGAGGGGAGCTGAAAGTCAAACCCAGCATGTTAATGTCACACCAGAAGCCTGAACCTCCCCCCTTTACAATGTCTACCTGTATTCATATTTTCTTAATGGAGGACCTTACACTTTCAAATGAGAAGTGCATTCTTCATCTTCCTCAGGAACTCTCAGCCTTGGGGAAAGCCAGTTGAGCACCTGTAGCTTACGTCAGCTTCCTGGCCAGTACCAGAAACATGACTATAAATATCATTTCTAAAATTGTTCCTAATTTGTAATGAAACCTTTTGAGCACCCCCATTTACCTGCTGAGCACTGCCCTTGGATTAGGGCAAGAAATGAACTCCTCAAGAAGATCAGCGTATCATGATGTTCAGTTTGAACTTAGAAAACCTTGCTGGTGGGGAGGCTGTCTACAGTTTATTTTGCAATGTGTTGTTCACAAGGATCTTTGAATGATAATGCACTTAAACACATAGCTTGCATTCCCAGCCATTGCCATGGTGACTCTGGCTGTAGCATTAAGGTGACTTTCTAAGATTTGAGGATCACCTGTTATACACTACACACTTTTGAGTTAGAACCAGTAGGGTAAAATATTGCCCAAGAACTAAATCCCTTCCTCTGCCCAATTTTATATGATCTCAGAACTCAGAATGGTTTTTATGTGTAATCCCTAATGAAATGAAATGCTATTTGACTCCAGAAAAGCTAGATGTATTTGAAAATTATGCTCTATTATTATTAGCATTTTGAATATCACTAATAAAGGTGGTAAAAGTGTGTTTTTTATAAAAGTTACCTACTCAACACCTTTCATTTTTTTCATTTTGGTGTGCAAAATCTGATATTGACTATTTCATGCTTTAGAGAAAATGTTTGCTAATCCCTGGATTAAAACACAGAGTGAGCCAGTTTGGACCCCTGAAAGGCCAGTGTTGGCCACCTGCTTGTCTTGGTTATCAAGGCTCACCAGGGACAAACATTGTCCTTCTCATCTTTTAGCTTCTCATCTTTTTAGTTACTGCCACAGCAACTTTGAGGAGTATATATTTTCGTTTTTCCCATTTTACAGATAGCAGAAATAGCTAAGATGTCTTAACTTTAGGTCACGGTAACTGTCCATGTCTGCTGGGGAGCAGTTGCTTGCCCCAGGGGCTAGGATCCTGTGTCCATTTGAAAGTGCCTGGTTTTCATACACAATTTCACTTTTAGTTCCAGCTTGCTGCTACCATAGGCCCTGAGTGGCATCAAGTAGCTGTGTTGCTGCCACCCAGCTGAGAAGCCTGGATTGCTTTCCCAATGCCAAGCTTTGGCCTCATCCAATCCCCAGCTATTATAGGCACGTGACTAATAAATTATGAATGGGAGTTTGTTCTCTCTCTCTCTCTAGCTAGCTATCTCTATCTCTCCAGTCTCTCTCCTAAATAAGTTATTTTGTTATGTCAGTTTATTGCCAAGCCTATGCTAGTGCTGTGGCGGGGAAATCCCAAGCCTGTACTGCTCAGACTGATGGAATGACAGCAGATGTGGTATACTTTTAAGTCATAATCAATAATGATAATTAGCATAAACATCATATCTGTTATTATGAGATGTTTGTTATAGACACTTTCTGAGCTCTGTGCTTATAGTGACTTAGTAATCACAGCAGCCTGTGAAGGTGTGGCAGGTGAGGCTGAGATTAGAACCCGGGCGTGCCAAGCATCTGTTCTTCTCACTGCCTTCCAGGGAAATGGAAAAGCGGGTGGTGTTGAGGGTTTGAGAAAGGAGCCGAGATCAGAAAAAAAGAAACAGTGAAGTCACCATTTGCTGATTCAGTCCCCCAACTGGTAGTGAGAGCAAAGGCCAGGCCAGGCTGAAGCCAGGAACTTAGAACTCCATCTGGGACTTGGATGGTAGGGGCCCAGGTGCTTGAGCCATCTTCTGTTTTATCTGTGTCCATGAGGAGGAATCTGGAGTGAAAGTAGAGTAGCCGGGTCTCAATTGCAGACACTCCAATAGGAATTGTGGACATCCCAAGCAGTGGCGTAACACACTGCACCACAACATCCATGAAGCTGCCTGGAGAGCTTGTTGGCATAGGTGGCACAGGCCACGCTGGCCTTTCCCACAGGTCCTCACCAAGCCTATGGTCCTAATCCTACTGGAGAAATGCTTCCTTTTGAACTGCAGCCTCCCTCTGTTGTTGGGGCAGGCATTTCTACTTAATCTCTTTATGCACCTGGCAGGTGACACCTGATGCTGTGACTTGGGAGTCCTTGGGTTCACTTCCCGGCTCCAGTTTCTGATTGCAGCTTGTGGCTAATGTGTGCCCTGGGAGGCATGGCAGTGACTCACGAAGTTGGGTCCCTGCCGCTCACAAGGAAGACCGAGACTGTGCCTCTGGCTCTCAGCTTTGGCCTGCCCAAATCCTGGCTTTGGAGGCTTTTTTTTTTTTTTTTAACAGTAAATCAGCAGATAGATGCTTTCTGTCTCTCTGTCTCTGATTAAAAAATATACCAACATTCCCTAGATGGGGGCTTAGCTGCCACAGGTTCATAGCGTCCTGTTGGCATACAGCATGCCCCCACTGCAACCTCAATAGTGGATCAGACCCCTGGGGGAAAAGCCTGTTGGTTTTTTGGCTCAGTCAGCCTAAAGCCCTTGATCCTGGGACAGGTTCGTGTGCTGCCCTGTGATGCCAAGCTCACCTACACCAGGAGGGGGGCATGAAAGTAATGGTTTTGCCATTGGTGATGCCAAGGCCTACCACACACCCTCTGTTTCTTCAGGTTTTGCAGAAGCTGCAAGCAAAGGCCAAGATACTTCCTCCTCTGGGCCAAGCCCGTCCTGCCAACTCTTTTGCTTGCAGAGATTCCCCCTATTATTAAGCTGCTGGTAACTAGGTTTAAATTAAAGCCCAAGCTTGCCAGTGGGTGGAAGGGCAACCCCATTATCCCCAGCCTTTTGTCCAGGAGAAAACACTTTACAATTTTGATTATGGAATCCTGTGATTTGAAGACTTTGCTTTTATTAGTTAGTACTTGAGCTTTCCTGTGGAAAAATGTACAAAGTGAGGTGAATCATGAAATCTGGATTTGAACTCAACTACCTGTAAATAGGACCAAGGTCTTGGACGTATCTTGAGTATTAAGTGAATTAATCTTTACAAAGCTCTCAGAACAAGATCTGGCATGTATAGTCGTGCTGCCTAAATTTCTGGGATGTGTAAATACTCAGCAGAGTACCTGGCTTATAGTAAAAACTAAGTAAATGTTAAGTCATGTTCATCAAGTCTTCTTTCAAAAGGGGAATGGCAATTTTGATTTAATGTAGTTCATTTCTCTTGGAGTTTTTTACATTATCCATCAGTTAGCTAGACCTCTTGATTCTAGGAATATGTTAGTCTAATCGCCTTCCCTGGTTGATCTGCATGAAAGAAGGAATGAAATGAATTTGGGAAGATTATGCCTATAAGCTTAGGTATGTCCAGGAAGTAACCTGGGGACCCGGGGAGTCCCAGAAATACCCTGGGAAGCATTGTAGAAACCAAAGAGTTCAAGTGGACCTCAGCTAGAAGCCTGCAGATTCTTTTTGAGACCACAGCTTTCTGTACCCCATCAATGAAGCTGGATGGTATGCTCAGCCTATTAGGAGAACGGAGAGCCTATGTACTAATCTTTGTTGGACTATCTCTCTCTGCCTCAGGACATTTGAATCTGTTTTTTCTACTGCTAAAATGCTCTTCTTTGATTCTTCTACTCCCATTCTTAAATTTTCATCTCTAACTTCTTTCTTAGCTTTTGATTGGAAGTATGCAGACATTGCTGTCATGATGCCTGGAGTCACATCCCAACTCTGCTTCTTTGGAGCTGTGTGACACAGGGCAGGCACTCACTAAGTGCATGGCTCATTTCCCCTTAGAGGTTAGCTTTAGGTAGGACATTTGGATGCCAGGTTAAATAGCATTTCTCTGTGTGGGGGGAAGATACCTCTACAATATGCTAGAAAAAAAAAGGAAACCTAGTTTTACTTGTTTAGGATTCACTTTGATTTGCATAAATCTTGGGTGTAATCACAATGGAAGGCAGCCAACTGGAACTTATGGTTTACATTTTCATTTGATAGTTTTTCTTTCCTTCTATCCCAAGTATGTTTCGCTCATTTTTAGTTCACAGACATTAGACAGAAATGAGGACCGTGGTAAAACTAGATGGCTAGATATGGGATAATATAAATCAAACTCATTTGTTTGCTGTGGGACTTCTTAAAGATTTGATGGGTGTAAAGTGTGTTGTCTGCTTCTGTTTATTGTGCGACCTGTGTGTGATGAACTAGCGCACGGTGCCCATGTTCTTGGGACAGAAGCATCCTGGGATATGTTGCCATGTTGGAGACTCTCACACCACCAAATGCTACAGCTTCTCTGCATATGAACAAACAGAAGGCTTGTGAGGTGGTGCCAGCATGTCAGCTGTGTCAGCTGTGTGTGTGCAGCATGGAACAGCTCACCGTTGTGCTTTTTCTTTCCTTTTTCCCTCCAGAGAAAGAGACCTTCCTGGATCCCTTTGTCCTCCGAGACCTCCTGCCTTCATCCCTGGGCAGCTATTATCGATACACAGGGTCTTTGACCACACCCCCGTGTAGTGAAATCGTGGAATGGATCGTCTTCCGGAAGCCCGTCCCCATCTCCTACCATCAGGTATGTATTCTGCCCTGAATGGGGTTTCTGAGTTTTTTGTTTGGCCTCAACTACCCATGGCTACTGTCGTATGCCATCAGGATATTTGTTAGATGTTCTGCTCTTCCTTTATTTATTCTCTACCTTCCCCACCAAAAAAAAAAAAAAAGTTGTTAAACCTAAGCAACTATAAAAGAATAAAATTTGATTTATCCGGTGCACATTACCTAGCTGAGATTACATGAAAGCATGAACTTAGAATTATTGAAGGAGTCAGTCTGGAGAAGGTAACAATAGTATTTCTCCTCCCAGCTCTTTACTTGTGCTATTTCATTTGCTCTCCGTGCACAGCATTCTACTAAAGGAGGAACTATGTGCAACACCATTTTATACAGGAGACCAAAAGACACAGAGGACAGGTAGCCAGCATAAGATCACACTGATGATAACTGGGCCATTTTATCTGATCCCTAAGATCAGATACTCTGGCCACTAAGCCAACCACAGTTCAGATAAGAAATTTGTATACACAAAGCAGTGAAATCAGATATGCTCTTGATTGAGCTCTTTCTGTGTCCCAACTCTTTCACTAAGCACTTCACTTATGTCAACTTAATCATTGGCAAAACAACATTGAGAAATGGGTGTTACACTAACAAGGTATATGTGAGACATCATGACATGGAGAAATGAAGTAACATGCCTAGTGACTTATGGTTAATAAATGTAATGAAGCCAGAAACCCAGCCTTAGATTGTCTTATTCCAAAATCCGTGTCTCTGATAACTACACTGTATTTTTTTCCTTCCAAAGATGAACTGAACACATTTTATAGGAAGGCAGAATTTCGGCCAAGGAATTAATTGTGAGTGGGAATTGGTGAAATGGAAATATGGTTGGGATAATGTCAAAGAAAGGAACTACCATATAAGTGAGGGTTCTTAAATCATCTTGTGAGGATTCATGGATGTAAGGGAGGAATTGGTGTAAGGGATATTTGTTACACAGTATGCACTGAGAGAGGAAAAGAGTAACATCTCTTATGCATAAGTCTATAAAATGGAGCCAGAAGTGAAATGTACGATTTTTATCTTGGTAGATTCAACCTGTTAACCGAAACTACCCAAACAATGTAATGTGTTTTATCAGGGCCTTCCATTGATGTGACTTTTCTTCTGCCCGCTTGACATCGCCGTCTAGAGATGTTCTACAGGGAAAAATGAAAGTTTGAAACACTATGATCATATCAGTAATGTTATTTACCATCCAGACAGCAAGACTCTGACCCTAGCTGGTGTGGGGTGATAGTCCAGAGACCTCCCTAACTGGAACAGAGCTGCAAAACAGGGGTTTGGGGCTAGGGTTGGATGGTGCACTGATCAGGTTCCTGTTGAGTGGAAGGAACAGAAAGGTGCTTAAAGTCACTCAAATAGGGGATATATGTTAGAAAAAAAGAGAGAGAGAGAAAGGGAGAGAGAGAGAGGAGGAAAGGAAAGAAGGCGGGAGGAAGGAAGGAAAAGAGAAAAGAAAGATTCCTTTATTTTACCATTAAAGTCAGAGTTAGAGAGAGAGAGAAATATCTTCCATCTGCCAGTTTACTCCCGAAATGGCCTCCATGGTTGGAGCTGAGCCGGCCCAAAACCAGGAGCCAAGAGTTTCTTCTAAGTCTCCCACATGGGTTCAGGGACCTCACAACTTGAGCCATCTCTGTTGCTTTCCCAAGCTATAAGCAGGGAGCTGGATTGGAGCTGGAGCAGCTTAGGAACGAACAGGTGCCCATATAGGATGTCAGTGGGCTCTGGTGCCACAGGCAGGGGATTAGCTTTATATGCCACCACACCTGTCCCCCAAAGGATGTATCTTAAAGAAGTGATAGTAAGGGCCTTCTGAGATGAAGCTGGTTGTGTTTCTTCATGGCCAGGACCATCCCTAGAAAGTGAAACACATGCTTTTTTCTTGACCAGGTAACCTCTTACCCTTTGGAGCTTCTGACTCACGTTTGTGATTAATTCTGTACTTAGCAAAGTACAGAATCGCTTCTGTTTCCCAGCTTCTTTTCTCTGGGTTCTGTGGCACAGTGCAGTTGCTTTTAATACTACTACTGAGTGCAAAGGCTGGCTACCAACTCACCATAATCTAGGTCTGTCTGCAGTCAGATGCTGAAGAAGATGAAAGGAGGTGAGCATTTAGCTGACTTCTTAGAATGCTGATTGATAGTCCAGCATCTGTGCTGGGGCCTAGTGTCTACTCCAATTCCAGCTTCCTGCCAGGGAAGACCCAGAGAGGCAGGAGTGATGGCTCAAGTGACTGGGTCCCTGTCTTCTCATAGGAGACTTGGGTTGACTTCCCAGCTGTGGGCATTGACCTGGCTCCTCCCCAGCCATTGCAGGCATTTGGGGAGTGAATTAGCAGAGAGCTCCCCTTCTTGCTCTCATTAGATGAATCTGAATAGATACAGAGCAGCAAGTGCTTGGCTGCTTATCCTTGAGTGAGTCTTCAGAGGTGTTGGCTGCTGCTCTTCTGAGGGTAAAAGGACTGGTGATTTGATTTCTGAACAGAAAGCACTGACCTTTAAAAGATCATGGAAAAGGGAGAGAAATGAGTTTTCTTCCTCATGGTGAGATCAACATTGTATTTTAAATCTGAAATAAAATCGTAGCCCAAATTTTTCTATCTGCAGGTTTGGCAGAAGAAATTTTGTGGTTATTTTAAGGGGGTCTTTTTTATCACTTATGATAAAATGCTCCCTGAGCTTTGAGTTAGTAAGGTTAAGAAATACAGGCTAGGCCACTCTTAGAGTATCAAGTGAAGCTAGAGACACAGGGTTGTAGTTGGTTTGCTAAGGAGAACTCCGGGCCATTAACACGTAACATGCTTTATTGTAACTCCAGAGTTTTAGTGGCTTCAAACAGAATGCGGAGTTTGAGGCTTGGATGTGTTATCAAGGGTTTGTCAATTGGAAGCATTTTGACATTTGGTAACTAAACCGCTTCAAGAACTGTTGGTTAATAACCCCCTTTGTTCTTCTCATCTCTGCCACTACTCCACTCAAACAGAAAAAATATTGCAAGAATTTTCCTGACCTCCCGATATATTATCTCTCTGTAGATAATTGTGTTGCAAAGAAATAGAGAAGAAAGGAATTAATCATATTTATTTTCCAGTTTCTTTACAATAATCCATCTTCAGATAATATGCCTTTTAGCGGGCACTGCCTCAAACCGCCCTTTCTCTCTCCCAAGAGAGGAAGACAGCTCATAATCCTGTGGCCAAACTGGATCCTGGCTGACTGGCTTTGCAGAGGTCACAGCTGTGTCAGCCCTTGGAAGGGAAAGCATTGGCTCTCCAAGTATTATCGCTCCAGACCTCCCCACCCTGACCCTGCCAACATTCTTTGTGAAGCCAGCACAGAATGTTCATTTTAGAGAGGCGAGCCATTTGGAAACACCAAGTAGTCAGGAATTCCACGTCTGCTCCTATCAGAAAGAAAACATTCCCAAGCTTTCAGTCTTCCACTGCTCTAAAATCTTTGTCTCGCTTTTCCTTCCCATCTACTGTGCGTGCCTGTAAGCAGTAGACGTGAGAACAGCATAAAGTATAGGAATTAACACAAACTGTCAACTTGTATGATGTGGATTTCTCTGAAGCCTTACAGAGTACATATGAGTAACCATGTGTTTTTTTCTCTTGTGAATTTAGTTGGCCATTCTTACCAGCCTTGTAACTAGGCAATTCTATCTCTACTGACTCATGTGATGATGTAATCAAGATAGCCCTTGCCAATTGATCAGTAGTTAGGATAATGTCACTGCACATCTCTTGCAAAATACCAGGCAAAAAACTTGGCCTCAAACAAAAATGGTGGCAATCCCAGGCTTGGTGTGGGAGGTCACAGGAGTAGCACTTGGTACTGCTTCCTGTGACATGTGCATAATTGGTTGGGAAAGATAGTTGTGTATGAGACCAGTGTCTGAGGGGGTTCCTTTTATTGTTTTATTCTCAAATGCTGATTTCTTTGCCCATTGGCAGCCACGCTGATGCTTCCTTAAGTTAAAATAGGGCGTTGCCTGTACTTTACCCAACACAAAATTCTGAGTGCTCATTGAGTTGTTATGAAAAAGGTAATAAATAAATCTAGTGTTCTTACCTTTGAATATTTTTTTCTCATGCCAAACTGGAATGGATAGGGAAGATTTATTTGCATGACCCTTTTAAAAAAATTATTTATGTTATTATTCCATGATAGAGTTCCATAGGCTCCAGGATTTCCCTTCTGATCCCTCCACAAGTCCATGCCCATCCCCTACTACTAATCTCTCCCATATCATTGCAATAGTATAGTTCTTCACTCTGGCATAAGTGCATCGTTCTTGCATGAGCCTTTTTAAACTCAGGTTATCTCTGTCGTGCAGAGCAGAGCCTCTCTGTGAAGCCAAGTCCAAGACCGTTGGAAGTGGACTGCATGAGCTCCATTCCTGGCTCCATACATTCACCAAATCACTCAACTTCTGTACTGCTTTGTTTCTTGGTTTTGTTATGCATACAATTAAGGTAACAATTTCTACCTCATGGAATCATTATGAAGATTAAGTAATGGAATGTGGGCTTAGTCCTGGAAGAGTGCCTGGCACCAAAAAGTGCTTAAGAGATCATCAGTCTTGTTTTTTTGTTGTTTTTGCTGCTGCTGTTGCTGCTGCTGTTATCAAATAGTCACCAAATCGTTAGAGAAATACTGCTCAGTAGATATAAGACTTGCCGTGTAATTCATTTTTAATTTCCTAGTAGTTACCTTTGATGTACTTACTTTCTTGAAACACAGAGTGACAGAAAAAGAAGGAAGAAGGATCCTCTCTCTGCTGGTTCGCTCCCCATGTGGCTACAAAAGCCAAGTCAGGCCAGGCAGAAGACTACAAGCAGGAATTCCATCACAGTCTCCCTACAAGGGACCCGAGTGCCTGGGTCATTAACAGCTGGAACAGTACCAGGAATTCAGTTACGGAATGGAGCAGCTAGGACTCAGA